ATGTTACATACCTACATGAAACAACCCGACATTGCACACAAATTTGCATCCCATTGGGAAGCAACTAGTTATTGGTTTGATGAAGGTTTTTTCTCTTTTCTATATTAAAAAATAGAGTTAAGTTAGAGAATCTTAATATTACGTATAATAAAACTGATAACGAATACAAGAATATATACTTTTGACTCTTTTATTTTTTTTTTCACAATTCCCTTTTAATATGAAATTAGATATTTCTTTTGGGCGCATCTTCACTGGCTCCTTCAATTTTACATTGCATTCATTATTGGCTGGATTTTTTTTATTTTATTTTTTTTTTTTTTGCATCGACTGTGGTGCTCTCCCACTTAATATGCCATTAACATCAATGGTTAATTTTTTCAATGATTCTAACATACATTGCTTAGCTTCATCATTTCCTTGTGCTTTGGTACTATTTTTTTATGAAAATTTATGAATGTGGGTGCCAAATATGAGACCACTTGAATAACCATTCCTCACTTGTGCCTCTTTGAGATATCTATATCCATAACCTTAATGAATGTCCCTGTTAGCATGAACATACCATCACAATAGGAGATATTTATCGGGTATATTCGTTATATTTTTCAAGCTGAAAACTCGTAGACAATGGGCAAATAATAACCCCATCATTTTAATTTTTTTTTTATAACTACAACCTATTTTAGAATTAGACTTCTCAAAGTTATAATCAAAGGTTTGCCTGTCCCCTAACTATCCAAATTTTTAATATAAAATTTTGAAGCACTATTTGCAAAGAATTCTATAATAAGACCACACGTCCATGTAAGAACTCTTTCTCGAACATTGAATACTGTTTCATTTCATAAAATTAAGCTACCTACCTCAACATTGGACTACTTTTAGCAACGGGAGCAATTACATATTAAGCACATTTGAAATTCTCGCCCTTTTCATTTCATCTCCATACTTTCATGACATTTTCAAGTCTCAAAACAATCAGTAATAGAGCTTGTTGGCCTGGAGTTACCATGATAAATATTATTTACGGACTACCTTATTACCCACACCTGAATGTACCTTCGAAAGAAATTTGCTTATTTTATTGCATCTCATGCATTTGTAGAACATGTCATTGACTGCCTAATTACCCACACCACAATGCACTTTCGAAAGAAATTTCTTGAAGATATGTCACTGGCATAATCTATGACGTGTATATGGTTGAGAATTGTCTATAACTCTTGTTATTGTTTGATCCTACTCACTAAAGATTGTTATTAAATGTTTATCATTCATTATATGAATAATTGTATTAAACAGCTTGTTGAGCGAATCAATCATTTTGTTCAAGAAAAAACCAACTCTAAAGAAAATATTTTGCCAATGATGGTTCACATTAACAAAAGAAGCACTACATATGTTATATTTATTTAGTGTATAACTTGTATAAAAAATAACGACATCCTCAAAGTAGTCATATAATCAAGCCTAGACGTGTCATTACTCCAAAAAAGCTCATCAACCTACCGCACTCATCAATTTGGAAGTCTCACGTAAACATATTATCTTCAGCTCGTCTCTCAGTAAAAAATTTTAATATAGAATTAGTGTCACCATTTTTAATTTTAGCTCTTCTCTCTTTTGAATGAAATTGAAGGCATCTCTCTTCGTGCATCCAAGTTTCTATACTCCCTCAACTTCTGTAACAAGAAATTTGAATACATCCTAGCTCTAATCCCTAATTCTATCAGCGATCTGAGCATATCTATAGTGGTTTCATTTATATTTTTATTGGAACGCAGAAGATGCTTATCATCAAGCTTCTCTGAGGAGTGTTATGGTTTTCTATACATTTTTTAGTTGTTCAGTTGCCTTCAACATCAACTTCATATTTAATCATTATTGGACAACCAATCTTCATTTCTCCTTTTTGAACTTTACCGTGTTCGTGAACTTCAACTTCTTGAAACAAGCTTTACCAAATAAAAAGTCCTTCGACTTAATTTTCCTCAAATTCAGCTAAAAACTACTGTGGTTCTTTCGAGCAATAAAAACAATATGATGTGCATAAACACAATATAGATTATATGCTTATTTTAATTGTACATAATAGTGTCAAGCAATGCTATAATTGGATCATTACCAACATTCCTAGTCTTACCAAATTACACATTTATATAATAGTTTAAACATGGTTAAGTATGGAAATCACTAAACTATAAGCACAAATCTTGAAAAATATGATCCTAATTAATATCACAAAATAGCATCATAATAACATAAAAATGCCCAAAAAATAAAAAAACTTCATAAAAACGCCAGTAAAACACCACCACATAACCGCCACAATACTACCACAAAACATCATAATACAACCATAATGTCACCGTAGTACAACCACAATACAACTCCAATAACATCATAATACCACCACAATAACATCACAATACAACCACAATATCACCACAAGACCACTCCAATAACACTAAAATTATAGGACAATATCATTATAAAATAACCTTAATATCACCAAAAATCATCAGAATACCTCTATAATAACACAACATAAACACCTAAAAACCACCACAGTATGGACAAAATACAACCCCAGTCTCACTACAATACAACCACAATACCACTCTAATAACCCCAGAAACTACTACAATATCATCAAAATTATAGAACAATACTACGACAAAATCACCTTAGTACCACCACAAAATCATCACAATAACACTAACGACAAAAACCACCAGAATATGAACAAAATACAACCTCAATTCCACCGCAATACAACTCCAATAACACAAGAAACTACTACAATACCACTAAAATTATAGAACAATAGTGCAACAAAATCAACTTAATATCACCACAAAATTATTACAATACCTCCATAATAATACCACTTAAACACCTCAAAACCACCACAATATGAACAAAATATAACCTCAATCTCGTCTCAAATTGACCACAATATCATTACAATTACATTAGAAGCTACTACAATACCACCAAAATTATAGGACAATACAACCACAAAACCCTTATACCACCACAAAATCATAACAATGGCTTCATAATAAGGCTGCTTAAATGCCTCAAAACCACAAAAAACATGAATAAAATATAACCTCAATCTAACATTAACAAAACCACAATACCACTTCAATTATACCATAAACTACTATAATACCACAAAAATTATAAGACAATACAACCAAAAAATCACCTTCATACCACCTCAAAATCATCACAATGCTTCCACAATAGCACCACATAAGCACCATAAAACCAACACAATATGAACAAAATATAACCCCAATCACATCTCAATACAGCCACAACATCACCACAATACAACTATAATACCACTCCAATAACACCACAAAACTATCATAATATGAACAAAATACAACTTTAATCCCATCTCAATACAAACACAATATCGCTCTAATAACACTACAAATTACTACAATACCACCAAAATAATAGGACAATACCAATACAAAATCACCTTAATACACCACAAAAGCATCACAATACCATCACAAGAACACCACAGTATAAACAAAACACTATTTTAATCTCACCTCAATACAATCACAATATAACTTACAAAACACCATGAACTATTATAATATCACTAGAATAATAGGATAATATTACCACAATATTACCAAAATATGATCGCAATACCTTCTCAAAATTACCACAATATTAATAAAAATCAACAATAATATTGAATGTCAACAAAATCATCACTATCAGAATAACTCCACAATAAAACCACAAAATCATCACAGAAACACAAGAAAACTAACATAATACTTTTGATTTTGAGTGCAAAAGAAATCAAGCAAATATAAATTAATGTCAACATTTGAAACGCAGTTATAATAACCTCTATTCGAAACTTATCATCATTATTTTCATATTCAATCAACAGCATTTCTCACTTAATGTGATTTTCATAAATAACACAAGAATATCGTCTTAACCCTAAATAGAGAACTACAAGAAAACCTTCCGGCCACCGGGAAAACCTAGCTCAAAAAGAAGAAATGAACAATGTGTTAGATTTCAAACAATGCACCGAATTTTGAACAGTACATCATATTCTTTCCTAATTTTTCAGTCTGATTCACGCCAGGTTTCTCGCAAAATACACTTTTTCACTTTTTTTTTTTTTTTAGTTTGTTCGACACTTTATAGGTGGTGAAATATCATTGGAGTCCATACGCATAGCTGCGTACAGACTCCTTATGCAAATTTTTTCCACTATTAGGGACTATTTGGTAGCAAGATTTGAGTGGATCATTTTTCAAAATATGAATAACAAATGTCAAATTAAAAATGACACTTTTAAAAAATAAATTCTAATTATATTTTATTTTCGTTAATTTTCAATTTTTCCTCTCCCTCTATTTAAGGGTGCAGTTTGTTTCAGTTGTGATTGTACGAAATCTCAGTTCAAAAATTGATGTAAAAAATTTGTTGTTCAAAAATTTGTATTTTAGAAAATCTAAGTCTAATTGAAAAATATAATTTTCAAAGGGATGTTTGTGAACAAATGTCTAAAATACCTCTGTGTATATATTATATAGAATTTATAAGTTTTTTCACTATATGTAATTCCCATATTTAACCGTATTATCTAAGCAAGCAGAAATACAAAAAGTAAAGTCAAAGTTAAATTATAGGATCAAGTGATCAAGAGACGGCTTGATTTTAGAAATTACATTTTTCAAAAATTTACTATCATAAGAAAAATTTTTAAAAAATAATTTTCTAAATGTCCAAATATTCAGAATAAGGCGAAACACTGTGAGTCAAGTACTATTCACTCACAACACATTTATCATGATATATATGACAACACATAGTTAAAAATAACATAAATTATTTTTTTTCATGACAAAGATAGTGATACAAACATGAGTTAAGCATAATACTTACACATAAGCTGCATCGCAATCAGTCCAACGACTTTTATTATTAATAAATCCTAAAATAGTGCATTTCATATTCCAAATTACAATAACATTTTAAAAACAAATGCAACGCTAACAACAATAATAGAAATACTGCAATCACAAATCAAATAAGAGCAAAGTCTTCATAAAACATTTCAAGTATTCAAGATTCTTCTTAATCGTAGCTTTAGATTATTTCCTTCAACATGTTGTTCCAATGTTGCATCACGAGGTTCATTGACTCACTAAAAAAATTTGCAATCTTTGTTGAATTGATTTTTGAGGGATCTATAGAATTTCTTGCAAGGGTTATCACCTTTTGGAGCTGTGAAAACAACACATAACGGGTTATATTCACGAAAACAGTGCATAACAATTTACAATCACAATATATTTATCGTTGTTTCATCCTCTTAAAGCTTGTTGAATAGCTTGAGCTCATTTTCAAAAATTTAGTCCTGTAAATTAATAGTTAGAGCATAACTAGTGTGAGAGAGGAAATAAATACATCAAAAAAATTTATTTTGTGCCAACACTAAGAATAAAATTCATAAGATACATAAAGTGCAAATAAATCTCAACACAAACAATTGTTAAAAAATGTCAATTGAAAAAAAAAACTAAACATATCAAAATAAAAGTCAACATTATTGTTATGATGGAAGTTTTTAATAATAAGGCAGAACAAAAATAGAGTAAACATATTAGACCTCTCACTTGTATAATTAGATAAGTTACTCACAGAAAGTTTTATTTATCCGCTTAAATAACAAGTGAACAAGAAAAAAGAACATATCAAAATATCTTCGTACTAATACTTTGTCTTCAAGCTATTTCCTTCTCATCACCTCTAAGGAAAGTGATGGAAAGTGATGTAGAAGCTATATGACCTCTTAAATTTAAAGCTTATGTGCATCTTTATATGTGTTGAATAGATTTCTTGAAAGTAGCATTTATTTCTCAAGTGATTTACATGTCTAATAACTAAAAGGTATAGTTCACATTCTAAAAGTTAAAACAGAAGTATTTTATGTGATATAAAAGATTGAGTGTTAGATGTGTAAATTCATAAGAATTGGGTGGTATTTACTTGAATGACCCTTCTTGAAAAGAAGTTTAAATCTTCCAAGTTATATCCTTTAATTGGTATAAAAAAATTATTCATTTTTATAAGTGAACTAAAAATTCATGAGCTAGCACATACTGAGAAATCCTTTCAAATTTCTTAAGCTTCGAGACAAGCCCAAAACAAATAGGAGATTTCAACCTGCAATAGACGGGACTTAGGCTCTGTTTGGTGCAGCTGTAGCTTCTCAGTTTTTCAGCTGCATCTGCGCTGCCTCAGGAATCTGCTGCGGGAAAGCTGACTGTCTGTTTGTTACATCTTTGTGAAAACAATTGTGGGACAACTGCTTATGGAAAAATGACAATTTTGCCTCTGTTTCGTGAAGCTGTTTAAAAAACAACTATGAGAAAGACACATTTGATACTTCAAAAGCAAAAATTCATTTCAAAACACAACAAAAGTTCATGTACATCACTCACTAAACATGACTCACATTATTGTCTCTTTTTTTTTTACTTATTTGTCTCAATGAGTTTTATCCTTTGGGTTAGAATCTAATTTCGATTAATTAAAACTAAATTCACCTAAAAACTCCATCAATATAACACATAAACCAGCTTCTTACACAAAAATTCCCAAAATACAATAATAAGACACTACTTCATACCAATTGTTTTACAATTCACATTAATATTCCATAGAATTGATCCAAAATCTAAAGAGAAATTTCAGACTATGATGGATTGATGCTACTATTAACAGAGTTATGGCATAAATCTGAATATGTGAACAATGATATCAATAAATAGCCATGTTTTCATTTTTTGCTTAATAATCAAATACTCACAAAGTCTCCCCATTCTGAATAGATAATCAGCTTCTTCATACCCACTTCCCCTAACCTAGTTGTAACATTCGAAAGACACATAATTCGTCTAAGCTAGAATTGAGAACAAGTAAGGAATAAAATATCAATTCATATCTAATTTCAACGGACAACATTTTATTATTCATCCAAATCAAATTAGAAATAATACCAGAGAGAATAAAACATTAAAGAGTGTTTTTGCAACGGAAATACAGGCCTGGATCATCGTTCGACAGGAAAGATGTAACGGCGGTGACATCGGCAGCGAGAGGGCCGATCCTCCACCTCCGATCTATCATCTCCTCTACTTTTTCGGGGCTTGCGGAGAAGAGGGCTTCAACAGAGCCATTCCTCCAGTTCCTTACCTAGCCCCGTAGGCCAAGATCCTCCGCGTTCTCCATCATACAGTCTTGAAACCCTACATCCTGCACATGTCCCTTTATCTCCACCTGCACGGTTGTCACGACCGTCGACGGAGGAAGAACACCAAAAATTGCAACTGCGGTATCCCTAATCCTTATGCCCGCTTTCTAATCTAAAAGTGGCACAAAGGTAAAAGTCGCATGGAGGAAGCTAGGCCGCGACATATAGCCGGCTTTTGGCTTTCGCACCAATCCGCAGAATGTTCCAGCAGCAACGCCGCCCCAAACGAAAAAAATAACTACTTGCACCATCACCCAAACACCAAAATAATATCAACATCTTTAAATAATAACATGAATTTTTGAAGATTTGTTTCTACTCTTTGATATCATATCACTAGCCAACAACACAAAACAATATTTGATAAGTACTAACATCACAACATAAGATATCACAAGTATTGGTATCGTAACACGCCATAACATGAGTTCATCACGAACTTCACAATTACAATAAAATATCATCACAAATGTTAATATCAAAAATCATTATTCTACCAGAAAATATCATCAAAAGAATTAACATCACGAGTATGTGTTTTACCAATGCAATAACATCAAAAGTAGTTGTTTAGCAAAGACATAACTTCATAAGAGAACTCCACTCAAATAGTATAGCACAAATATGAATTAGTTATTATGATTTGGTTCAAAAAAAAGGAAGTAATAAACCCTCCTCTCAGGTGTAATAGATATGAATAACTCCCTCTTGAGAAGCTTCTAGTTTCATGGAGTAAATATATAATTAAATTTCTTCATAAACTCTTATAGTTTGTTCTAAAACTTTTATCACATCGAGAATAGATGAAGAAAGTTGCTAATATTTGACTCATTTGATACGTAGAGCCAATTTTTTTATTATGGCACGCCCTTACTTTTAAAGAAGGTGGAGTCCAAGCATAATTGGATTCATCGTGTTAATTTGTGTTGAGTGATTATCTTTGAATGGGATTATTTGCTCTCTCTTTTTGTTCTTGCATAACTAAAGAGGTCAAGGTATGTCCACCAATCACAACAAAGTTACTAAACATGAGATCAAGCTTATTCTCAGTTTGATTTCACCAAACTTAAATTTCTTAGAATTCGATACAACTTGTCATTCATGCAATCAAATGGAAAACTATGTCAAATAATTCTATGTATAAATGAAAGAGAAATTTAAATGTTTTAAAATTTCTTTCACCTTTAACTTCTCATTTCACCAATCTGTTAATGCATCTATAAAGTTTTTAATTGAATCCTAAACAAATCTGGTAGATCCTCTTTTGAGCTCTTTCCAAAACTTTCATTCTTTTTTAACATATCTCATTTAATCTTTAATTGAGTTTGACCATACAATTTTTCAATTCTCTCTTAAATATTTTTTTTAATGTTTTGTCAACCTTCTTTGCTGAAATGTGTTGTTGGTATATTTCATAACTTAGGGTACCTTTGGGGCAGCTTATTTGAGAGCAGCAGCGTTTTCAAAACGCCGCTGCTGTGTTTGGAAGAAGCGTTCGGTCAGCTTATTCATGTCGCACCACGTCCGCGTCCGGGAATTCCTTAAGCGTCTTCGACGTGGGTAAAGACCCATGTCCCGCATTCAACTATTATCGTTGCCCTAGATACCCCTGATCTCCCTCGCGCTCTCCCTCCCTGGATTCGTCACCCTAGAGAAGATCGAATTGGGTTTCTTTCGATTTTTTTTTATGTTATGATTCGTAAGATATGCTTTCCCTCACCGTCAATGCTTCTTTCACTCACCGTCAATTTGTAAGGTATGCTTTCCCTAGAGCGATCGAACGTCGTTGGGCGTGAAAGGTTCTTTCTAGACTTGAAATAGCGATCGAACGTTGTTGTTCCTTGTTTTTTTTCTTCCTTGACCGAAGAGGGATTTTCATCTTCTTCTTTTTATTTTCAACTCGAACAATGCGAATGGTTCTTTCTGGTTGCCCTAGAATTCCTTTTGATTTTTGTTGGGCGTGAAGGAAAGTGTGGAGAATGCATTCCTTATATCGGGCCAGAATTTCGTTTCGATTTTTGTTGGTTGTTACATAATTTATGTTGCATGACCGAAGAACAAAGATTTTTTTCTTCTTCTTTGTATTTTAAGTCAAAAAGCATGGATTTTTTCAGAGCGTGAGGAATAATTTTTTAGCTCCTTATAGAGGCAAGGAAAGGCTTAAGAGCTGTTTATGAGCAGCTATTAATTCTTGTTTTTCAAGTTTATGAGCTGCTGTCAATTCCTGAGCTGTTGTTTATGAGTTGCTATTAATTCCTGTTTATGAGCTGATATTAATTCATGTCTATAGGAAACATAGGAAAGCCTTAAGCCTTAAGAGTTTGATTTTCAAGTCTCCAGATGAATGGTGGTTGATCTTTTTGTTTACTTCTCTGGAATCATTATTTCTTTTTAAATTCTTAATGATACTATATGCATATCTATGTATTCATTGCAATCCCCATTGGTGGCAAATGTCATCGTCCTTGGTATGGATTATGACTTTGATACAAGCTATGGAAATTGATTTGGTTATTTGTAACATGTATGACCAAATGACACATGTAAATACATCTTGCTTGGCTTCGTTCAAATAAGCAAATCTTGATTTGGTTATAAATTGAATATTATGGCTTGGTTCATGAAAATGCATCTCAAATCATTATGATATTGTTTATTCTCCTATGGTAGCTTAATGGCTTGTAATTCTAATGTTTCAAAACTATATCTACCTTGTCGTTGAAAGGATTCCATACTCTTATCTTTAGTTTTATGTTATGAATGATAATGATTGTAGCATTGGGGAGTTAAGTACATACAGAATGACAATGGTTATAGAATAGTGGAAATGTTTTAAGCTGCAGCTGTTGGTTTCAATGACATTGGTTATAGAATTGTTTAAATGTTTTATACTCAAGTGTGGTATTAAATTTTTGTTGACATACTCGAATCATTCCAATTGAGATCTGCTTATGCCTGCTTGGTCTTTCCGATACAAGGTCCGATACAAGGATCCAAATTTATTGGTTGTACCTGCTTTTGGTTTATTGTTCATATGCATATGCGAGGCTTTCTGTTTTTATATTAGGCTTTCAAATGACATTTATGCGACTTTCTGGTTTTATATATGAAGCATTTTTCACACTTTTATAGTTGTCAAAATGCGGATCAGAAGAGAAAAAACTGGCATTCGGTTATTAGCATACATGAAAAGGGAAGAAGAATTAAAACATGTTATATTTTTATTTTTTCACACCTCACATTTTCGGCTTTCTGGAGGAAGAATTAAAACATGTTCCATTTTCACACTTTTATAACTGTCCACATGTTACACTGCCAGCAGTGATGAGAATCCGATGTTTTCCTAGGTTTATAGTGCAGCTAAAGACAAGCATAGTCAGAATTTGAAATTGTATATTTTAATATTTCTCATTATAGTTGTACTTGTCTTTATATAATTTTTATTTTTTCTGATATTCACGAGAGTGTGAGAACTGTATGTCATCTTTTGAAACTAATCTGTGATGATTTTATGTTTCTGCACTATATGCTTATGTACTACCAATAAACTATTCTGAATAAGCTGTCCCAAACAGTTTTACCAGACAGGGGCAGGAGTGTCATTTAGACAACCATAACTACCAATACGCTATTCTGAATAAATTGCCCCAAACAGCAAGTCAGCTTATTCTGATAATCTGTAGATTATCAGAATAATCTACTTATCAGCATATTATAAATAATCAACAGCTGCCCCAAACAGAGACCCTTAATCTCTCTAAAAAAATATCAAAAAAAATCATTTTTGTTTCTTTCTCCCAAATAACAGGTGATGTGTTGTCTCTTGTGTTGCCCACTTATCATTGTATTTAGTAGTTTGATAAATGATTTCAACTATTTTAATTATATTATAATAGCTAATATTCTTCAAAACTTTTCAAGAAAAAAAGAAATAATCAAACAAATCAAAGTTCCATACATCAATCTAACAAAAATATGAGAAAATATCACAATATAAAATATAACAGATCTAACTACACTTTTTAGTGAAGTTTTGCATACATACCACACTGCAATGAACACCTAAAATAATCACTACCTTAGGCTTATCCCACTATTTGGGATCAGCCTTATCACATTGGCTACAAATATAAATTTTATCTTTTGTGATAAACATTAACACTTTTTACACAATAATACTGCATTTAATTCATAATTTATGGAACTCCATCTATAAAAAAACTGTAAAACAATCATAACCCCCAATCTTCCTCCTTTCTAATTTGAGCTTGTAACTAATATGCCCAAGTACAGTATGGATCAACAAAAGTTATAAAACATGCTGCAGATTGCTTGTTCTATGAACGGTAGCAAATGCATGTTATGGGTAAAAGAGTGACATAAATTTGAAAGTCATCTAGAAAAAAAAAATTGAAGGAGCATAGAGGGCATAATAAGAAAAAAATTAAGATTCAAAAAAGGCTAACCAGAGTTGATATGGTTTGAACTTGGACGTCGTAAGATGACACCATATGTAGCTCAACATGAATAAATATAGGTTGTAGAAGTATCTATTCAGCCAACTTATACAGTTTAGGGTAGACAGGAGGAAGTGGAGAAGCAGATGATCCATCCCAACAAACCGAAACAGCATTTGAATCTTTGGTAAGTACCTCTTATTTGAAGTCTCGGGCGATCATCTACAAACAGACCATTGAATTCTTTTGTATTTAAAATATTATTCAAGTAAATATATGTAAATAATAAAAAAAAAGAATTAAAACCTCATTATTATTAACCATGTGGCTGAGTTGAGCTCAAGGGAGGAGAAAAATCTCGCCAAAAACGAGCGAGACGGTGGGGGAAGGCGAAGCAAGGCACTAGGAGGAAGAGGTAGAGGTCGTGGGCGCGGGCAAACACGAGAGGTTTCACAATGGGTCGCGGGAAGCCTAGTTTAGTCGCATCATCTTCCTCCACCTTTGGGGCTGGTTAAATTCTGGTGTGGCTGGTTATAGGGGCATGTCATGTTGTACTATCATCAAGCTCATGTGGATATTAGAAGGTTTATGCACATACTCATTATGGTCTCATCTAGAATTAATGACCCTTCTTTTTTTCTTGAGGGTGGGCTTGTTTGATGTTAAAGTTGGTGATATAAACTAGTTAATATGGAATATTTGATGCTTTGGTCTTGTTTTCCTTTTATGTGATGCAGCCAAAGCCTTATTTTGAATAATTTTAAAAATAGATTGTTATTTTCAAAATACCAAATCATACAATAAATAAGAACCATCTAGCTAATGTTTTTAGAAATTTTAATTTTATATATATATATATATATATATATTACTTCATGGTGTGAATGACATTGACGCTGGAGAATGTACAATTAAATCTACAAATCATATGAATAGCGAATAAAGGAAGGAATAGTACAATTTAGTGTACAATTTAGTACAATCCGAATCCGGTTTCTCAGTTCCAAACTTCTCAAGGCTTGGATGGGGTTGGTGAGGATGGCGGCTTCAAATCTCTGAACTGCAAGACAAAAGAGAAATTTATGAACATTAAGCCATAGTTCATGTCATACATATCACACCTAAAGTTCAATATTTACATGTATGCCATTTACTTACGCATCAGTGTATTTCACAGTCTAACAATTAAACTGGAGATTTTTTTTAATTAGATATGCAAGATTTGAATGGTATAAATATAAAAAATAAATTTTAGGAGTTGCATAATGTAAATACATAATTGGGTTGTATCCATGTAAATGCACTTGTTTTAATTATGATTTCATGCTTATAAATAGTAATAAAATTTACTTCTATGTAATTTAGTATTGGAATGCTTTTCTCATACACATAATTTAAGAAGACCGTCTAAAAAAAGTGTTTAATAAATTAAACAATTTAGCAAATATAAAATAAAACTATGTTATGCCTACAAAATTTTATATATTGTTCAAAATCAAGTCATGAATTTTAAGTTGCGCCCATTAATATTGCACAATTTTTGTATAGGGTTTAACCATCTTCAAAATACAATAGGTAATCCCATTATGCGTGGTTTGTTGGGGAGCTAGTTCACAGATGAGGAGAACTACAACAAGATCACGGGAGAGGAAGAAATGATCGCAAGTTCAGGAGAAGAAACAACGGCAACAAGGTCACATAAGAAGAGAAATGGAGTAAAGGATACAAACCCACCTACGGTTGAGTTGTAGCCGGAGCACCCCTCGCCTTTGGATACAACCCTAAAAGGAAAAACAACCACCGATCGCTACCTTGGACAGAAACTCAACAAAAAGTAAACCCTATGACAGCAACACACATATAAATAGAAGATTGATAGGTAGGAAACAAAAATATCAAGGGAGGAATAATTCTCGCCCAATAAAAAGAGGGAGGGGGGGGGTGGTGGGGCTTTTGCG